TGATTCTCTCTCATCATTGATGTTTCTATCTTTCTCTCTCCCTCTCCCTTCCTCTCTGAAATCAATAAAAGTATATTTTTAAAAATAAAAATAAAGTAAAATGTATTCCTAGGGATCACTGGAGGCCCAGGGTGACCTTACCTTCCTTGAGAGATGCTTTACGTTTGCTCTGCCAGGCTCCTGATGACATGGCTAGTCCAGGATGACCCACATGCAAGTTCAGGACTGGTGGGTCCCTGGACCACCCAGGCGATGCCAATAGAGGTTGCCCAATTGAGCAAGGCTAGTTTGCCCCTGAGGGTTGGGTCCCTGACGCGGGGCAGCTGGCTGATAGGCCTGCACTTCCCAATTCTGTGTTCAGTGACCTCCCGTGGAGAGTTTGGAAAGGCCATGGCGGGGGCATTTACACCATGGAAATTGGCAAAAGCTCCATACACATCAGGACCTTTCCCCAGTCCTACCCAGAGCGGGTTGGTAAACATTTACCAGGACACCAATGGCAGAGCTTAATGAGGTCCAGAAATACTGTGGGGAAGGTCTCCCCCAAAGAGTGAGCCTTATGATGAGTTTCAAAAAGACTGGGGATCCTGTGGGGGAAAAAGTTTTTTTGATAAACCAGACACTGAAATCTGCCTCTCAGTATTTTTTCTTGCCTATAAGCACAACTGTAAAAACTCACAGCTCAGATACTAGTGGATCGGCAACTCGCATATCCATCGACGCAGCCATTGGCTTGCCTGAAAGTTAGGCCACTTTAAGTCATATGAAAATAGATAGCCCTGGCCCGTTTGGCTCAGTGGATAGAGTGTCGGCTTGCCGACCAAAGGATCCCGGGTTTGATTCCCGTCAAGGGCATGTACCTTGGTTGCAGGCTCCTCCCCTGCCCAGGCCCTGGTCAGAGCTCCTGCGGGAGGCAACCAATCAATGTGTTTCTCTCACATCGATGTTTCTCTCAGTCTTTCCCTATCTCTTCCACTCTCCCTAAAAATCAATGGAAAAATATCCTCGAGTGAAGATTAGCAACAACAAAAATAAATAAAAAGAAAATAAAGAGACAGTACACATAGTGTTTTGAAAGACTAATGTGTTCAAAGGCGAGACAAGGTCATCGAGATACTCCTCTAACCATAAATGATTAAGCGCAGACGGTGGGGTCATGACCGTGTGACCCGGAGCAAAGTGGGAACCCGTCCACCAACGGGCTTGGGGACTTCTCGGGTCAGGCATCTAGAAGGCTGCCCAGGCGTCAGCTGCTTCACTCCCAGGGGTGCAGTCGTTCTGGCTGCCAAGCATCTGAAGTTCCCCCCACCCCCCACCAGAGAAGCTATAGGGGCCCTGTTTCTCTCTTCACCCAGGGAATTAGGTCCTGGGCATTAGCCAGTTGGGGGATGGTCTAGCTGATTTTTTTAAAATAATAGCATTATTGTCTGGCCAGTGTGGCTCAGTGGTTGAGCATTCACTTCCCAGTCAGGGCTCATGTCTGGGTTTCGGACTCAATCCCCCCAGTAGGGGGCATGCAGGAGGCAGCCGATCAATGATTCTCTCTCATCATGGATGTTTCTCTCTTTCTCCCTCTCCCATCCTCTCTGAAATCAATAAAAACACACATATACACTATATTTAAAGTAATAAATAGCATTGTTGAAATATAATTAACATACCATAAAACACACCCTTTTAAAGTGGTTTTTACTATGGTCATTGAGTTGTGAAGCCATCACCACAATCAATCTTAGAATCTTTTTGTCATCCCAGAAAGAAACCCTCCACTTACATTAGCAGTCAGTCTTCCTCTCCCCTCCCCAGCCCCAGCCACCAGGAATCTACTTCCTGTCTCTACGGATTTGCCTATTCTGGACATTTCACATAAAAGAAACTGTATAATATGTGTCCTTTTGCATCTGGCTTCTTTTTACTTGGCATGTTTACGAGGTTCATCCATGTTGTAGCGCGTATTAATACTTCATTCCTTTTTATGACTGAATGATAGTCCACTGTATGGATTTACCACATTTTGTTTATCCGTGCATCCTTTGTTGGACATTGGGTTGTCTCCCCTTTTTGGCTATTATGAATCACGTTGCGATGAACATCAGTATGCAGGTGTGCATGCAGGTGTGCATTTTCATTTCTCTTACCTATATTCCTACGAGTGCAATTGCTGGGCCACATGGTAACACTATGTTTAATATTTTTAGGAAGCGCCAGGCTGTTTTCCAATGTGGCTGCACCATTGTATGTTTCCACCGGCATTAAATGAAGTTTCCAACTTCTCCACGTCCTCACCAACACATGTTATTGTCTTTTTGATTTCAGCCATCCTGGTGGAGGTGAAGTGGTATATCACTGTGGCTTTGATTCTGGCTTTGATTTTGAGAGAGGGAGAGGGAGTGGGAGAGAGAGAGAGAGAGAGAGAGAGAGAGAGAAGGGGCAGGAGAGAACTGACTCATAACAGAGTGGCCCTTGGAGCACCTAAGAGGATTGGAGCACTGAGCTCCCATGGGTGGCAGTGCAGCTGGCATCGGCTGCCTCGGTCCCTGCTCATCCTCTGAGGTTACTTGGTCTCTCCATTGATTCTGTGAGTTACCCGACAGTCTTCAAATAAAGTCCCTTTCCAAGTAAGCTAATGAGAACCAATCCCTATGGCCACAAACCAGAGACCGTGACTGATGCCATATCCAAGCCCCTCAGTCATTACACATCCTGAATGCCTTGTCTCTGGTTGTAATCCTTCCCCTTCCCTGAATAGTCTCCTCACTCTTGTCCCTTTCCCCAGCCACACCCTCCTGCCCATCACCCATTTCTATGCCTCTAAGATGCAAACTTACTCCATTTTGCCTTCATTTAAATAGTCAAGTTTAACCTCCTTGATTCAGCACACAAGGCCATCCATAATGTGACCTCTGCCTTCTCTGGCCATCGCCCCCAGGCACCCCTCAGATTGGCTTAGAGTGCCTCGATTATGTAATTTCTCCTCTGCCTTCCCTGATCCCCTCCCTCCCACCATCTGCTCTGGATGCCCCTATATCATGGCACCAGATGTATAATTATTGACGCTTCCCTCGCTACGATGTAGCATTCTTAGGCACAAGAACCATGCTTCGCGCCACAGTGTGTCTCAGCTTAGCCACTGTGTTAACACTGAGGTCACTATCAGAGGATCTCTGGGCCACACTGGGATGGGGTGGGGGTAGTGGCCAGCATTTGCTGGAGCTTTACCGCAGCAAGGCTGCCTTCTATGATCGATCACCAGGGGATTCGGGCAAATGCATAAACGTGATTGCGCGTGAAGGGGCAACGAGATCACGGAGAAGACCGTGCTTACGTGTTTAACAAACATTGGGATCCCTAGAAAATGAAGAAGACGACATGCCAACTCAGGGCTGAAACCCACTGTGAGCGTTTCCACCTTGCGCCATGGTCGCGAGAGAACAGCCACGCCAGGGCTGGCTCCACACCTGACGTGACGTCCGTGTGGCTTCTGGCTCCGAGGCACACTGTGCCCCCGTCTGCAATGTTCTCCTCGTTCCCTTGCCACGAGGGGCTGTCAGCTTCTCTGCACTTGGGACCCGAGGTTCACCACCCCACCCGCTGCTCCCTTCACCAGGACGGACACTTTGGTGTCGACAGTCCCCACTGCAGCATGAGTGACTTCAAGCGATGCAGAGAGGCAGGGGGGCCCCGGTGGGCAGCGATCGCCCTGGGCCTGAGGCCTGGCACCTGGGCATGACGAATACCCGCTGTGACCTAGGAAGGCAGGAGGCCTTTCCGCAGCTCAGGAAACACGAGCTTAAGGTACAGGGACCCCACTAGTTACTGTCCTGAGGCCGGTCCCCACACTCAGGATTGCACTGCTGGTAGAGACTGTTGCATCACCTGGGCTGTTTTCTTTTCTTTTTTTGGTAATATTCCTTTAAGCTAAGCTAGCAGAGGGTAGTTACCCGACCTATGAGTCGGGTGGCAACTTGCTGCAGATCCCCAGTGCCCGGATCTATTTATTACCGTCAGCTTTGAAGCAGCTGCCTGTAGGGAAACGCCGGCCAAATCCCTGAAGAACACGCTCAGGCCGAAAACACCAGGCCTAGGCTGGCCGGGGCTGAAGGACACGGACCTTTAAAATGAGACCCCCCTGCACTGCCTCGAGGTGTTTGCAGAGGACAGACAGCAAGTGGGGTGACCCGGGAGCAGCGGCCTGACTGGCCCCAGGAGCATTTGCTTGACGTAGGGCAGACCATGGGAATAATTCAGGGGTCACAGATTGCGTTCTTTATTGTTGTTGTTGTTGTTAATCCTCACCCGAGGATATTTTTCCACTGATTTTTAGAGAGAGTGGAAGACAGAAACATCGATGTGAGAGAAACACATAGATTGGTTTTGCCTCCTGCACGAGCCCCGACCAGGGCCCAGGCTGGGGAGGAAACCATGGTACATGCCCTTGACTAGAATTGACCCTTTGGTCTGCAGGCCGACGCTCTATCCACTGAGCCAAACTGGCTAGGGCACAGATTTCGTTCTTTTTAAAGTCGATTTATTGGCCTGACCCGTGTGGCCCAGTCGTTGAGCATCACGGTTTGATTCCTGGTCAGAGCACATGCCTGGGTTGTGGGCTCCATCCCCAGTAGGGGGCAACTGATCAAAGATTCTCTCTCATCGTTGATGTTTCTATCTCCCTCTCCCTTCCTCTCTGAAATCAATAAAAAATATATATTTTTTAAAATTGATTTTAGAGAGACAGAGAGAGAAGCATTGATTTGTTGTTCCACTTATTGATGCATTCAGTGGTTGATTTTTGACTGGGGATCGAACCCACAACCTTGGCGTATCCAGACGATGCTCTAACCAACTGAGCTACCTAGCCAGGGCCAGATTTCTTTTTCTTTTTTTACATCTTGATATAATTTTAGATTTACAGGAGAGTTGCAAAGGCAGAACCGAGAGCGTCCCTATGGACCCGTCACCTAGCTTCCCCCGGGCGCACGTCTTATGTAACCAGGACACAGTGATGGGAACTAAGGAGTTAGCTGAACTACACCACACAGGACAGACTTCATGTCGACGTCACCAGTTTCTCCAGAAATCCCGGTTCCCACTGCGTTTCACCGCCGTGTCCCCTCCGTCCCCTCCCGTCGGTGACCGTTTCCCAGCCTTTTCTTGTTGCTCGAGACGGTTTGGAAGAGAACCAGCCAAGGCTTCTGCACAGATTCGCCGTGTTTGTAAACATCTGTTGGCGGAGTGGATCCGGCCTGCGGGGCGCATCAGGGGCTGCTGTTTCCGGGTGGCCCACGAGCTAGAAAGATGGCTTCTGCAGTTTTAAATGGTTGAAATAATAAAAAGAAGAAGACGGCTTTGTGATATGTGGGAATTCTCAGGAAATCCACACGTCCGTGTCCGAAACTCCATCTGATCAGAACGAGTCCGCGGTCCTTCTTCCCCGAATGGCCTGTGGCTGCTTCGCCGCTGGCCCGGCGCAGGAGCTGAGCCGCAGCCCATCTGCTGAGGGCGCCGCAGCATGTACTCCTCTCCGCCCTTTGCAGGGACCGGCTTCCGATCCCGATGCAGAGGGCCAGTGAGGACTGGCGTGCGCTGCTGTTCAGAAGCCAAGTTGGCTCCTACAAGGGCACCGGAGCTTCCGGTTCGTTCACTTGGTCAGCCCACAGGTGGTTATCGAGGGCCCGCTGTCAAAACCAGCAGAGAGTGCTGACCAGTGGGAAAGCTCTGGGATTAGGAGAGGTTTGTTCTCTCCAAGTCTCAGGCACCGCGTCTGCCTGTCATAATAATAGCTGCTGTCCTATTTTAAGCGCTGCCTCCTGCCAGCAGCTCACTCTTCAATCGCACCATCTCCTTTAATCCTCACAACCACCCTGGGAGTCCGGCGTCCCCGGAGGAAACTGAGGTTTGAGAGATGAGCTGCACCCAAGGGTGCCCAGGAGCGAGTACATAGGAGAAGCAGAAAACCATGTGGGAGTTTTTGACGCCTGCGTGGGAGGGGGGCTGGGAGTCTGCGGTGGAAAGTGGGGTTTGTGGGGGCGGCTCATGGCGGTGCTGGGGAGACCACTGCTATTCTACATGCCCCGGAACTCTGCAAGCCACAAACTGGGGTGGGTCGGTCAGCAGCCAGGGGCCCCATCTGAAATAGTATTCTGTTTTCAGAGGGCCATCCCTGCGTGCTTTTTGGTGCTCTCTGTCCTCTGCAAGCACCTCAAGGCAATGCAGGGGGGTCTCATTTTATTTTTAAAAAAATATATTTTATTGATTTTTTACAGAGAGGAAGGGAGAGGGATAGAGAGTTAGAAACATCAATGAGAGAGAAACATCGATCAGCTGCCTCCTGCACACTCCCTACTGGGTATGTGCCCGCAACCAAGGTACATGCCCTTGACAGGAATCGAGCCCGGGACCCTTGAGTCCGCAGGCTGATGCTCTATCCACTGAGCCAAACCGGTTAGGGCAGGGGGGGCCTCATTTTAAAGGTCCGTGTCCTTCAGCCCCGGCCAGCCTAGGCCTGGTGTTTTCGGCCTGAGCGTGTTCTTCAGGGATTTGGCCGGCGTTTCCCTACAGGCAGCTGCTTCAAAGCTGACGGTAATAAATAGATCCGGGCACTGGGGATCTGCAGCAAGTTGCCACCCGACTCATAGGTCGGGTAACTACCCTCTGCTAGCTTAGCTTAAAGGAATATTACAAAACAGGCTTGATGTACGAGCCCAACAGTCCTGTCTCCAATCTCCTTCCTCCCTTTCTGGCATTGCTGCTCTGCCACCCACACGGCTGGCGAGTCTGAGCTCTCTGCTCACTTGGGGGGCGGGTGCCCTGGGATGGCTGTCCTTCCTGCCCACTACCTGTGTGGCCCGGGATGGAGGGGGAGAGGCCCTCCTGGGGCTGAGTGCACCGCGCTGGTCAGACAAGTTGAGAGACAGCAGGACCAAAGGGCCCGCAGAAAGGAGCCCCGAAGGTGAGAAAGGGCCCCACAGTCCAGGTTGGGCTGGGAGCGGAGTGGGAAGTCATCGACGCGGATCTTGCTGTCCCGGGATATTTTGGCAAGGACCGAACGCTGACTTAGAGACACAGGAAGCTGGCTCAGCGCAGGGGGCGTGGCTCAGCCTGGGTGCGACAGTGGCCCAGCCACGGTGGGTCCAAGTGGTCCCTGGTCGGTTCTGCTGAAGACAATTACCCCAATATGTGCCGTCGATAAGAACAAAATCAGAGTGCGCCGGGCTCGGTGAAAGAGGCCTCTGGTGCGTCTGATGGGGCTCAGTGGTTGAGCGTCAACCTATGAACCAGGTCTCAGGTTTGATTCCCGGTCAGGGCACATGCCCGGGTTGCGGGCTCCATCCCCAGTGTGGGGCATGCAGGAGGCAGCCGATCCATGATTCTCTCTCATCATTGATGTTTCTCTCTCTCCCCCTCTCCCTTCCTCTCTGAAATAAATTTTTTTTAAAAAAAAGAAAGAGAAAGAAGCCTCTGGTGTCTAGACTGCATCCAATTCTGAGTTGTTGTTTTAAGAGAACAAGTCATTTGGGGTTTCCTGTTCCCTAAAATGTCCCTGAGAACTTTCTAACTGGCTTGCTGTTTGGTAATATGTCTCTGAAGCCCTCAGCAGCTGCAAAATTGATCCACAGAGCTTGTTTTTTGTTTTGTTTTAAGAACAAAATGTGAGCTAGCACTGGTGACACGACGAGACGCTGTCCGTCCCAAGGTCGCAGTGACATGGCTGGTCCGGGCGACGGTTCCAGTCTGCGGTCCAGGTGGGCGCCAGGCAGCGGGGAAGGCTCTGCACACACAGCCCCAGCGCCCAGCACAGAGCACCCGGGCAGGGCTCCGAAGCGCTGCCAGCCAGGCTAGTTCCCCTGGGAAGGGCCTGGTCTGGGTGGGAGGCGTGCTGGACTGCGCATGTGTCGGGGACGACATCGGGCACATCTGCCTGAAAAGGGAGACCTCCTAACTGAGGACAAAACTCTAAAATCAGACCCTAACTTCCACCTGTTTACACAATGATGGCACTTCCTTTTTAAGGTCAAAACACCGCTAAAAACGCAGTGTGTTCCCTCAACAGCCCCTGAGCTGGGGGGCTGGCCCGCTTTTTGCCTTCTGCGTGTTTTGAAGCCCACGGAGGGTGAGGCGGCGGCAGACCCACCAGGCCGGTGTCTGCTGTGTGTGGGGGGCAGGGCGGCCTGTGGTTGCGGGTCCAGGTGCAGCGCACATCAGGTTCTGGGCCTTTTGCATTCTCTCTGACAGTTGTCACCGGAGTTCAGCATGGCCAGTGGTGCTCTTCATAACCGCCACGCACAGCTGCCTGGGTGTTTTGCTGATGAGAAGCCGTGAGCAAGAGACTCCCGGGGGCCCGGAGCACCCCCACCCCAGCCTGACAGCAGGCGGGGGCGGTCCCATCCACATTGGGCCACAGTAGGCCGGGGGCCCAGCGGGCATTTGCAGGGAAGGGAATAGGTCACCTGTGTCCCTAGGAAGGCCTGCTGCGGGCTGAGGCCTCCTGGGGACCCCACCACCTCCCGCTCCCCCTCCAAACCCTCTGCGGCAGCCTTGCCTTGCTTGTCATGCCTCCACCCACTTGTCTGTTTCAGAAACAGTGGAACGTCCAACTTGATGAATCCCACTGCTTAACAGAAATTTGCTTTTAATTTAATGCCTACATGTTTTAAAGACTGGCATGGGGGTAGGGAAACACGGGCAAGTACTGCCTCTTGGAGGGGAAAAAAACCCTCCCCACACACAAAGTCCTTTGTCCCTCAGACATCCCTTGCACCCTCGCTGACCTCAGCATCTTGTCCGAAACCGGGTGAAATGGTCAGGCCCAGGATGTCCGTGACGAATATTTCCGCCGTGATCTCCTCCGGGAGCTCCTCTTCCCAGCGCACTTCCGGCCCTGATGGACAAGAGAACGCACGTGTCTTCCCAATGATTGGGCTTCTGCCGCGAGAGCGTTTTCCCAGAAATGCAAGGAAGCGAAACTCAGAGGGGACAGGTGCTTTGTGCTGTGGTTTGGCTTTGATTCCTTGAAAACCCCCGGAGGGCGGGGGTTGTGGGGTTGGGGGAGGGGACTGGTTACAATCCTTCCTTTATGGTTTGGGCCACTGGGGTCCTGAATCTACAAACCTCACTGGAAAGCCTTAACCCAGCGGTTCTCAACCTGTGGGTCGCGACCCCTTTGGGGGGCGAACGACCCTTTCACAGGGGTCGCCTAAGACCATCCTGAATATCAGATATTTACATTACGATTCATAACAGTAGCAAAATTACAGTTATGAAGTAGCAACAAAAATAATTTTATGGTTGGGGGTCACCACAACATGAGGAACTGTATTAAAGGGTCGAGGCATTAGGAAGGTTGGGAACCACTGCCTTAACCACATGGTATTGCTGATTTCACCGTTTCGAGACTCTTAGAAACACTAAATACATAATAATTGGGAAAGTAACATTCTGAGACCCCCCAAGATCACAAGGAATGGGGTGGGGCGGGGGGTGGGTTAGCAGTGGCCCATCAGATCCCGGGCTCTAGAACTGAGTTCAGGAGCGCTGTCTCACTTGAAATTGGGGATGGGATGGCCCAGCCAGGGTGGCTCAGTTGTTGAGCATTGACCTACGAAGCAGGAGGTCACAGTTCAATTCCCGGTCAGGGCACATGCCTGGGTTATGGGCTAGATCCCCAGTGTGGGGCGTGCAGGAGGCAGCCCATCAATGATTCTCTCTCATCATGGATGTTTCTATCTCTCTCTCCCTCTCTCTTCCTCTCTGAAATCAATAGAAACTTAATAAAATAAAATAAAAAGATATTGGGTACAGACAATACAAGAGGGAGAAGGCAGGCCAGTGAGAAATTGTTGCTCCTGACTCCAGTCACAATAACAGGGTGGCTCTGCCCACCGAGGGGTCACCGGCCCAGTGTCGGGGCGTCACTGGAGTCATGTGCACACAGGCAGGCCCAGGAGAGGGGTCTGGATGGGTGCCTCCTGAGCTTGACTTTGCAACCCAAACCGCAGGGCCATTTTCCTCCCTCTGGTGGAGTAGAAGGAGGCAGGAAATCCTCAGGAAAGGAGGGATGATCATTAAAAACTAAAGTCGCCCTCGCCAGCTTGGTTCAGCGGACAGAGCACTGGCCCTCGGACTGAAGGATCTCGGGTTCAATTCAGGTCAAAGGCACTTACCTAGATTGCAGGCTTGATCCCCGGCCCAGTCGGGGCGCGTGTGGGAGGCAACCAATGGATGATTCTCTCGCACATCGATGTTTCTCTCTCTTTCTGTCTCTCCCTCTCCCTTCCACTCTCTCCAGAAATCAATGGAGAAGTAGCCTCAGGTGAGGATTAACAACAACAAAGAAACCTTTAAAGTCTGACAGCTCGAAGTTGGGCTTGTGCCGCCTACCAAGTCACTGTCCTCTTCTAATCCAGTCCCTCTGGACAATTCCTCTTTTTCTGAAACAGCTTCCGAACTGTGTTCTCTACTGGCGGCCAGTCGTCACCCACCCGAGCTGGGAAGGTGAAGACGGGGCGGTGGTGTAAAGGAAGCCGCCAGGCCAGCGGCACGAAGGAGGGACAGACAGCGGGACCATGGCCTAGACACGGCCACGCTCGCTAGCCCTCTCACAGCGTGTTCATGGCCTTCCCCGCAGACTTGCTGTGTCGTATGCAGGGTATGAGGGAGGGCGGCTCGCACAGGTCCCGAGAGACAAACGCACGTAAGCCGACAGCAGGTGAGTGAGCCCAGCGGCCTGCCCGGACAGGACAGGACAGGGCGGCCCCAGTACCTTTGAGGGAGGAGGCGGCCGGCTCGGATTTCCAGCCCTCGGGGTTCAGGCCCAGCAGCGTGGCGAAGCAGTCGGACAGCTCCTCCTCCGTCATGTGCTCCCCTGGGCATCGGAAAGGAAAAAGGTGGCTGGTCAGCTCTCGGGACTAAGCCAGATGTCAGAGCTTAGCATCAACACTGCGAGGTCTGAAAGAGAATTACTCCACAATTTCCTTCTCTTTTAATAAAGAAAATATATATATATATATTCATTTCAGAGAGGAAGGAAGGGATAGAAACATCAATGATGAGAGAGAAGCATTGATTGGCTGCTTCCTGCAACCCCCTACCCGCACTGGGGACTGAGCCCGCAACCTGGGAATGTGCATTGACCCAGAATCGAACCATGACCTCCTGGTGCATAAGTCGACGCTCAAACACTGAGCCACAACGGCCAGGCACGATTTCCTTTTCTAGAGCCCTTTCTCAGTTGGTTGGGCATCGTCTGGTGCATCGAAAGTTGCCAGCTCCATTCCCAGTCAAGGCACATGCCCAGGTTTTGGGCTCTATTCCTAGTAGGGGGCATGCAGGAGGCAACCGATCAATGTTGCACTCTCCCCCTCTCTCCTGAAAATCAACTTTAAAATCTTTAAAAAATGTATCTAGAGAGTCCCATGTTGCTGCCAGATATACATCCTTACATGGTGTTAAAAATGGGACTCCCACAGGGGACATTCTTTGGGGCTTGTATGGAGACATCAGACAACTTTCTGATCGAGACTGCCCTCAGCTTTACTTCGAACTCCCTCACAACCCTCGATCCCCGGGTTTGACTAAGATAAAACGATCACCCACAGAGAGAGCTCGCTTGACTTCCTCACATAAAATAATGGGGAAAATAGCAGGGGAAAAGGAGAAACATTTATTTCACAACTGCGCCTCATCATCGCCCCGTGGGATAGATGGCTGGCACTTGTCAAGTGGGGACAGGGAACCTCGAGGTGTCAGTCATGGGGGCATGACGGGCCTTCTTCTGGCCTCCAGGTCAGCATCCTTCCCGCTGCCTCACGTTTGCGGGCCGTGCGGGCCACTAAGTGCATCCTGTCAAGTTAAAGATGCTGGAGGGGGATGGTCCTGTCTCCCCAGCTCGCCTCTCTCCAGGGGGCATGGCCCAAGGGCCTTCGAGATAACCCTATTTGTGGGTTCACCTTTAGTTAGAAGCAGCCTCAGGAAATCCTCTCTTCGAATGGCTTTCTTTCCTTCCGAGTTGGTGTAGCCCAGAATGTTGAAGTTCTTCTGGATGGAACTCATGGTGTAACCAAAAGGTGGCCGGTGGTTAAGGTAAACTTTCAGGAAATCCGGTAAGGTGATTTTGTCAATTACCTCTCCAGTGTCCACATACTCACTAAATTTGATTTCGTTAAATATATCATCGATCTAAGGAAGAGGTTAAAAAAAAAAGCAGAAAGGCACCTTTTAAAATATACATAT